GTAGATGAAAATCTTCCAAGAGGCTTAATTGAATTTCAAACAGATGTTTGATAAATTTCCTCATTTCATCAGGCTAGCAAGGGAGCATACAATTCATAGCTGATAATTTGGCTGAAAAGATTGAGGATCATCCTGGCACTAGATGACAGGTTGGGAGCCCTGGGAAACATCGCTGTGAACCATCCTCAGGCTAACAAAGGCAACAATTAACTACTACTGTTTGTTTCCTGTCACTCGGCCAATTTTGTATCTATTTTGTTACAGTCACATTTATTCCATGAGCTCTAACTTTTCTGACAAATCTGTGGTGTGTCATTGTATCAAATGCATTGTGGAACTTCACACAAACTGCATCAACAGCCTCATATCAACCCACTGTTACTCTGTCAGAAAACTCAAGTAAGTTACTTAAACATCATTTCTCTTTATCAAATCCATAAATTTTCCTTTATAAAGTTACCTTTGTACACATGACATGTACATATTGTCCTAAATTATTGTTTTTAGAAGTTGTAGTCTCATCTTATCCTGTACCCTTGTTATATTAACTTAACCCATGCAGTAGAAAATTGACAGGATTTTACAATCTGCCAGTTTTACATCCCGGCTGACTGGACTCTGCATTGTAGATTATGTTATAATTATGCCCAATGATAGCCTGTTTAGTTTCCATTCTTAAATGTCAGAAAGTAATGAAAGGAGATAGTCTATCTTTCAAGATACCTGAATCATTCAGATGGGAAGAAATATGTGGCTGTAGGGAAAGACAAGGTTAGCTGTCAAGTTTGAATGATAAGGCATTGTGACTGGATAAGATGTATCCCAAGCGCATCGAGGATGGTAGATTGGAAATTACAGAGACATGTTTTCTTTGGACTTAGATGGTGCCAGAGGCCTGGAAAATTGCAAATATTACCAAGTTAATAAGCACCTTTCCCACAGGGTATTTAGCAAGTGGAATAAACTCCCAGAAAAATAAATTGGATTGACATGCATTGAGAATTAGTGTTGATGGTCACAGAGATATTTAACAACAATACTTTTCTTCTTTTCCCTCTGGAGGTTAGGAAAGTAAATTAAAGTTCCCTCAAGCAAAGGATGAAGAGACAGTGGAAGGGAGGACTGCGATAGCCATGCAAGAATTTTGATAGAGTGCACTTGCCTCAGTTCTTTAGTCTTATCTGTTTTTTGTATGGCCTTGTATATTTTAGATACTTTTGTACATTTTTTTTCAGATGCTTGAGAAAGCAGATATTCCCACCCATATTTCCCTATCAACAATTAAATGGGATGTGGAATTTTGTCTGTGCTTCCAAATATACACAACTCTATGGTTGATCTTTAGAGTTAGCTGGAAGAATATATAGTTGACAGTTTATCAATTTCACCAATATCAGCCTGAGGTCAGGAGCAACATGACAACTGAAATGTTAGATTCTGAGAGTTGAGGTTCAAAGTGAAGCAGCTGCCCATGAAATGAAGACTACAGGAAACATTTTCCTCATTTACTAATTATTACATCTCAAGAAGAGTAATTGTATCTGTGTTCATTAACTCCTTCAAGAAGGAAGGGCATAAATTTTAGGTTGGGAATCGAATCAAACCAAGTGAAAAACTTTATGGAATATGGTCATTCTTGACATACTATGATGAAGGAAGATGGTTTGAAGAGACCAGTTTGTTAAAATCAGTGGTGAAGATATAGAGATGGGAAAGAATTATTGGCTTTTCTTTAACGTTTTGGAGATCAGGGAATGTCTATATGAAATTGTCCTTGAGAAATTAAATCAACCAGATTTACTGCATGTCGTCATTGGAAAGTGTTATGTTGATAGCCCTAATGCTTTTTCTGCCTCCTGTTTTTAACTATTCAAAGGGTTTGCTCTGATATCAGCTTACAAATGCCAAGACACTTTATTTTCATTGGCATCTATGCCTGCAATAAATTAGGCAGCAAGTATAAAATATTATAAAATTTGAACCATGAAATCTGCCATATTATTATAGGAAAAATAAGGCATCTATCACAGAGCTGAAACAGACATTATTCTCTTTGCATATTAGAATAAGGGCCCTAATACCTGCTTAAGTTTTCACCCATACTCTCTCAGATCTCACATATCAGCACTGGAGAAAACAAGCTCCATGGGCAATGACTATCTCTGGGAATATATAACCAGTTGTGAGTCTGTCTGTCTTTGGATCACATTTACTCTACAGCTGTGTTTAGGTCTAGCCTTGCATCTCTTTGGATATAGCAATGTCTTTTAACTGATGCCAAGGTAACTAATAAGACTTAAACTAATGTAACACATTATCTAACTATTATGCAACAAACTCATTCTTGTCACTCAGTTCTTTTGCCAAAGACTCTTCTGTTGAAGTGGCTAATCCTTCATTATTTAATACTAGCAAGCGCTCTAGACTAGCATTACAAGAAGGATGAATGGCAGCATCTACCCAAAGAAGATCCTATCACATCCAGGTGCCAACTCTGGATATTTCTTAGAACAAGTATTACATGCCAGTAGCAAAGCAGTAAAGTAATATTAGCTGAATGTGAAAGTGGAAAGTGCAGGAATCCTCTCAACCTCACATTACATTCCAGGGCTGCCAGATACTTACATCGTCCATTCACTACCATGACTGTCACAATCATCACCACAAATATCCCTGATAATTCCCTCCACGAACCATCCCCTGGTCATTCAATTCCTGATTACCCTTCTGTCTTTGAGAACTTGCTTGAGGATCATGACCAGTGATGCAACAATCTAACATTTGAGGCACTTCCTCTGACAAGCTTCCTTGAAGCCTATCCTATTAATGTCTGCGACTTGCTAGAACAAAATGATAATGAAGCCTGAGGCCCAACATATGGTGTGCCTTAGACTTAGCTTTTTAGACACCTCCATATAAGCTCATTTTGCACACAAACTATCTGTTACTTCCGCATATACTTTCTTTGCCCTAATACTGCTAGCAATTTCACAACTATAAAAATGATCAATCTGAGTCAGTTTAGGTTAGATTAAATTTTAAACAAAGGAAAATGATATTGCTGTGGAAAACAAATGGATTGTTTAATGTAAAATTGCAAACATATCTCAGTGCCGATAAGGTATAATTTTAATTACAAGCATTAATTCAAGAGTCTGGATACTTTCTGTAGCTTCCATCCTAAACATATGAAAGAAGCCATCCCCTACAGACAAGCCCTGTGCATACACAGGATCTGCTCAGATCTGGAGGAACACGACAGACATCTGAAGGTTTCGAAGGACACCCTCATAAGAACAGGATATGATGTTCAACTCAACGATTGCCAGTTCCAACATGCTACAGTGAAAAACCGTAATAAGCTCCTCAGAAGACAGACACAGGATACGTGTCTGACGTCATCCAGTACTTCTCCGGAGCGGAGAAACTACGCCATGTTCTTTGCAGTTTTCAACATGTCATCCATGATGGTGAGCATCTCGTCAAGATCTTCCCTACATCTCCACTTCTTGCCTTCAAACAATCGCCAAACCTTAAACAGACCATTGTTCACAGTCACAGCAAACTACTCCAGCCTTCAGGACAACATCAACCACAACACCACACAACCCTGCCATAGCAAACTCTGCAAGTCGAGTCAGATCATCGACATGGTTACTACCATCACACATGGGAAATCCTCCCAGCACATACATGGCAGATTCTCATGTGACTCGGCCAAAGTTGTCTACCTCATATGCTGCAGGCAAGGATGCCCCGAGGTATTATATTGGCGAGACCATTTGGATGCTATAACAATGGATAAATGGACACTGTGCAACAATCACCAGACAGGAATGTTCCCTCCAAGACAGGGGTCAAGAGCATTCACCCTCTGATCTTTGGGTAAGCGTCCTACAAGGTGGACTTCAAGATACACAACAATGCAGATTCACCGAGCAGAGACTGATAGCCAAGTTCGGTACCATGAAGACGGTCTCAACCGTGATCTTGTGTTCATGTCATTGCTACAGGTGACCCCACCGTACTGTTCTGTATCTGTAAAATCTTCGTTACTGTCCTGTTTTGACAGCATCACCTTGATGAATTGTTATGTCTCTAACTTAATTAATTTGTACAGTTTTGAATTCGGCATGCAATTCCAGTCATTTAGTTTGTCTCCAGCACCACCTTATTTTTAGTTTTTTGTAATTATCTCTCTGTCTCATTTAGTCGGATTATAGGTCATCCCTTCGCAGGTTATTCAGCTGTGAACACTTTACTCACCGTCTATCACTCTTGGTCACCTGCAGAGACTTATCATCTGACACTCCACTCTAACCAGTTGTATGATCTTTTGAAATCTCTGCCCTTGATCTCTCTGCCCATATATTCTGCGCGTATGTGCTTTGCTGTCTCACTGTACCTGATGAAGGGGCTGCACTCCGAAAGCTTGTGTGATTTCAAATAAATCTTTTGGACTATAACCTGGTGTCGTGCCACTTCTGACTTTAATTAAGAAACCTAAACATTATTTTGATTAAAACTTCACTAATTTAATGCAAGGCTGCAGCTACTGTATACTACATAATTTTTCACCTCCTAAACATTTTCACCTTGTATTCTGCCATCTACTAAAAACCATTTGTAATGGTGCCAAAGTTTAAATTTACATATTCTGAATCTATGAAAAATAATAACTAAAAGAACACCTACAAAATGCAAATATTTGTTGCAGAACATCTGAGGTTAATGCTCCTTATAATTATCATTACATTGCCATGCGTAATATCAACCAACATTATTCCCTGTGCTTGTTACAGCATGTTAAAGGTATGGCTGTGTTTTATTTGCATATCAGGTTAGAAATAGACTTTGCAATGACTAGCAAACACTTCTGCCCCTTCAGACAAGTAGCTACTTCCTGGCTGCAGGGACGATAAGATCTCAGAACACCAGTCGGAAAGTTGCATCACTCTTAAAATAAATTTCCTTTCAAGACACATTAACGACAGCCTTGACAGAGGATTCAGTCGTTGCACGAGCAGCATGAGATGAACTCTTCACTTTATTGTCTGCGCTATTGTATGAGCGATGAGATACCAACAAAATGCAACATTTCAGCCTACGGATAATATGGGAACATTAGAGAGATTCAAAGAAACTCGGTGAGTTAAAGTTAGCTTGGACTTCACTTTTTTTTATTATCATATTTACAATCTTGTAGCTATTTTATTCTCGCAGATCAAGTTGAGGGATTTTCTTTGTTCTGACTAGTTTTACTCTTTGATAACTATAACATTCTTGAACTGCTTCAAAGTTCAGTTAATCTTTGCATTTTGTTACGGAAGTAGAATTTTTATTCTACAATATTCTTGTAGAGATAACAAGGTGTAGAGCTGGATGAACACAGCAGGCCAAGCAGCATCAGAGGAGCAGGAAAGCTGACGTTTCAGGCCTAGACCCTTCTTCACAAAATGTTGTAGACCTGTCATTTCATTTCATTAATTGCAGTCAGTAACAGTTTTCATCTTATGTTGAAACAGGAGTAGGCTATTTAGCCCATCAAGCCAATATATTAAATCATGATTTCACTGCATCCTGATAAAATCTACATCACCTTGGTTCCGTAACTCCTAATACCCTTGTCCAATAAAAATCTATCAATCTCAGTTTTGAATTTTTCAATGGAGCTAGCGTCAGCAGCTTTTGAGGGAGGGGGCATTCTAGTATATCTTGATAAGTTAATGGTCCATAAAATCCAAATGCGTTAAGGGATTTTATGTTCTGTTTACTACGTTAATCTACGGCATGCCTGAAAGGCTGATATTGAGAGTTTGTGTTGAGAGACTTAACTCAGACCAGACAATTTGCAACGTTCAGAACTATTAGAACAGTCTTTTGAGGATGTGGAATTTATATTGGTTTTAGAGGAGCCTGAACTGCAAATGACTTGTCTCTAATTCCTTTGCATCAAAAGAGAGATTAGTGGGGGTTTTCCCATTTTTAGATCGGACAATTGTAGATTTGGGAGTATAGTGAGTTACAGACCATGCTAATACTGGACTTATTTTGAAATACTGTTTCAGCCTTAGAACCTCAGTTTCTTGAGATTAAAATACTTTTAAGGATAACTCTACGTTAAATAGTACAAAATATTCTTGCACCTGGCTGATTTGTAACTCCGCTTTCACAACCTGCTTTGAAAACTTTATATTTTGACCAATTTAAACTACTGAGCAAAAAAGTTCAATGTTTATTCTTGTGTCAGGCAACAAAGGGAAGTATTATTTGACATGACTTATGTTCTTAAACTTATAGCTCTAATTTACATATTATTTCAGTGTTGTAATCAGAGTTCAGCCTTCATTTTAAAACATCTTGCTAAACTTGTTTGGTAGTTTCATTTTTCCTGGGAATGGCGTAAATGAATGTCCATGGTGTGTTCTTCAAATTTACACCTTAACTAACAGTTAGAGTTTTGCAAGGGCACCACTTTTTCCATAAGACCATCAGAAATAATTCTTTCACATGTTACTAAAAACAATGTTAACTGTATCTTCAATTAACACATTTATAATTAGGCCAATGGTTTCCCCATCACCTTCCCCCACCTGATCTGTATTCTTTCCTGATCTTTAATGCCTGCAAGTGAAAAGGAATTACTCATGCAGGTGCCACTGGAACTTTAATTTCTTGCTTTAATTTTTCTGTGCATCCAAACTGAAACTGACAAAAAGCAAAGATTACAAGCTGTTAGTAGGAGTTATTTCGGAGATTATAATGTGTTCCTGGTTTTGCTGTTCATAACTTTTCCAAGAATATGGACGAGATCGCTTCTTAAATCTCTGTGTAACTATGTATTTTTGTGGGGATCTGGACCGATTAAGTAAAAGAGTTAACAAATTGTGTTGGTTTGATAGGTTAGGAGATATGTGAAAAGTGAAGTCTTTGGTTTTATGGAAGTCAAATTTTTATCTGCGTAATACTTTTGTAAAGTCAACAGCATTCTAACAATTAGAAAAACATTTATGTTATTAAAACTCAGAAATTAATTTGTTCTAAAGGCAGAAAATGCTGTATATAATCAACAAGTCTGGTAGCATGTGCAGAGAGAGTAAATGAGATAATATTTCAGGTCAGTGATCTGTTATCAGAACAATCATTGACATGAAAAATACTGTATACAGGTGGCAGATCTGGTGAGTATTTTTATCACTGTCTATCTGCATTTCTGATTTACAGCATCTGCAGTACTTTTCTGTTGTATTAATGAAGTTGTTTCAACTAGACCTTAAATATGGAAGCATTAACAATGTAGACAAAAGCAAGCATTCATTTTGTATTGCCAGCACAGAATAACATTATAAAATTAGCAGCTGCTTTGCGAGTAACAGATCTGTGGATAGACCCAAGGTAAAAGTAATTACTGTTGCATCACAGAACTCTTTTTTAACAACTAATGAACTAGGCATCTGGTTATGATTGTGACTGAACAAAATAAAGATGGATAAAAATAGATGTCCTCTAATCCTTTAGAAGAACATAGCAGTTGTTAACTTCACATGATCATAGTGGCTGAGGAAGGCTATTTGGTTCAAATTGATGAATCCATCTATAACATTTTAAAATTTTTGCCATATTTCTAAAACAAAATTTCAGTGTTTTTACTTTCTCTGCTTTAGCTGAAAGTTTATTCATATAGATCACTCATCGTATGAAGAAGTACCTGATAACTATCTGAAAAGAGTCCTTCCCCGTTTAAACTTGTGTTTATTAAATTTAACCTAGCATTGTTTAGCCCACTTACATCTCTTGTCCAGTTGTGTCTGCATTTTATGAGTTGTTTCTTCCAATTTGATGGCCTCCATAATTTTTGGGGATCTAGCACAAATATGATTACTTTTCATTACGTTTATGAATCCAGTTCATTTATGTAAATTAGAAATAGTACTGGTAGCAGCACGCAGGCCTAATACATGATTCCAACTTTAGCATAATGCTCTAATAAATATTTCTTTCCTATTCTTTAAGTAGCTTCCAATCTGTTATTGGGGCTTTCCACAAGTCAGCAATATGCAAGAAACCAAAATTGGGGGAGTGCAGATATCTTACAGGGATACAAAGCTGAAACAGTTTATAAAAGATAGGCAGAGGATGAGGCCATGGAGAAATTTGAAAGCAAGGATAAGAATTTTTAAATCTCCTATTTAATTGATTTCTTTTAGTTTTCACTCATTTCTTCAAATTTAAATCCACTCTTATACACAAAGCTCTTGATCTTCAGATCGTGTTGATATTTATAATTCTGCGATTGTGCAACAATGGTACATCTTCCATTTCCTGGGTTATTTACAAATACCAAATCAAGACTAGCATTGCCTGTTATGGTTTTCTTCACATACTGGGTTACAATGTAAGGAGGACTTTTAAAATTTTTTGTTATTGGAACCTAGTTATTATAAACTGATAGTATATGATAAACAAATACGTTGAAAGCTGTTGCTTATCTTTGGAGAACAAGAACAAACTTGCAGAACTTCATGCAATTAAGTAAGTTGTGCATAGCCTAGGGTCTTAGACAGCATACATAGTCTGGGAACAAAGTACACTTGAAAATGTTTTCAACCTTCCATATTTCATACATTCATACTTCTTTATCTTCGGTTTTTCACACTCCCCACTCATTCAGTAGGAAAGTGCTGATTTTAGTGAACCAACACTGATGTATAACCATTTGTAAATGTAAAGGTCACTGGCAGTTATACAAGTTTATGTGTTTTTATAAGGAACATTTCCGCCTCTGGTGTTTGACAAACAGAACAAAATATGGGGAAGTTTCAGCATGTCTGAAACATTGAAATAAAACAAAGAACTCAATGGCTGGAAATCTGAAACAAAAACAGATGAAACATTTTCTCCCCAAAGATGCTGCCAGATCTGCTGATATTCTTCAGTAATTCCTGTTTTTGCATAAAAGATCAATTGTTTTGAAGGGAAACCCCAAAGTTACAAAATTGACGGAATGTGACATTTCTCTATTGAAGTGTTTAGGATAACACACATTGGGCTTCAATCTTCCACACTTGCAGTGTACTGTAGTGTTATCACTGGTCTTTGTTACACATTCAGTTAGGGGTACCAAAACTCCAGGTTAATCTCCAGGGCACTGCTTTCAGCAATCGAGGGAAATATGCTTGGCATTAAAGAAGGTTACTCCAATTTTCCTTGTAAGCTTTCATTTTTCAGTTGTAAACCTCATCAAAATGGTTAAATAGGATGTATGTCTGACAAAAAAAAAGTCCTATCTCATAACAGCTTCTTAAGTTTCCAATTTACAATGGAGAGAAAGGCAATGTTTCATTAGGATAGATGTCCTGGTAACCAACTGTTGGAGTTGCAGAACAGATAGTTGTGTGATGATACATGCAGCAGTATGCCCAGACCATATTGGCAACCCTAGTTTCAGCAACAATCATATACCATGAATGAACTGTTGCCTTTGAAGGAGTGAAGAGCATCCATTGCCTCACCCCATCCACCCATGCACACAACTCCATCATCTCCTGGTTACAAAAGGCCAGCTTGCAAATCACTCATCTTTCTGCTGCATGTAGGCTGGGGTCATCCACACATCAGTGGCCTGCACATGGTCTTGCCCAGCCAAAGTGAAAAGTCAGTTTTGAGAAAAGAAAGCCTTTGTTGAAAATCAATGCACATAAACCACTACCTTCCTACCTCCGTAATCTCCTCTCATACACAAGAATTCAAATGCCTGCATATCTATTTCTGGCCTCAGAGCTTCTCTAATTTTCACATCTGAACCAATACGTAGCTGTAAACCTCATGGCGATGGTTAAATAGGATATTTGTCTGACAGAAAATGTCCTATCTGGTAACAGCTTTGTCACTTTCTAATAGGAGAGAAAGGCAGTGTATCATTAGGATAGATGTCGCTGGATACCAACCGTTGGAGTATCTGTGAAATTCTTGGGCCTAGGAAGCATCCCTGCCTCTGCATTGGAAACTGTGACTTAAAGTTCAGCTCCAAGATTTTGTCACTGCAGAAAGACTATTCATGAGGCAGTTCAAACTGGTTAATAATCAGCCAGTTAGTCCTTCCTATATTTCACCACTATTTCCCAAAGGGAATAAAAGCTCTCGTGAAGATACAACACATACAAATTGGTCACTGTTGCCTCTGACCTAAGCTCTGGAATTCCCTCTGCAAACATCTCCAGCTGTCAATTTCTCTTCCTTCTTGACCCTCCTTTAAAACTCCCTGACCAAATTTTTGACAATTTACTTTGATGTTTGGATGTTAAACTTTGGATATGCGTTTGGATGTTAAATTTTGTTTGATAATGCTGTTGTAAAGTATTTCACAACATTTTGTTACAGATGTTACATAAATGCAAGTGTTTTTTTGTAATTGAAAGGTTGAACCTAAAATATTAGTTACTTCGAAACAAAAAGCAATATGCTGCAGAAATCTGAAATAAAACATGGCATATTGGAAGCTTTTAGCAGGCCAGGCAACGCTCATGAAAAATGACGCCTGTTAGAACTGATTATGAAAAAAATCTGTTTCTCTGCCTTTAGAGACTGCCTGATCTGCTAAGTGCTTTCATCAATTTTATGTTTTAATTTTTTAAATTTGTTTTAGTTTATTCCTTTAAGGATAGTACAGAAATGAGACAGAAGATTGTACAGCAGTGCTTCCCAAATATTTTCCCAGTGTGACCCATTTTAATGCCTCAGAATTTATATGGCCCTACAGTGATAATTTGTAGCTTATGAGAATAGTAGAGCAGTGGATGGTGAGGATGGTGGATAATAAAAACTATCTTTTTATGGCCTTTTTTCGCAGCAGCAATTGGGCCTATGATCAGTACATTAGGTTACGCCCACCAATAAAAAAAGCAAGGATTTAAAGGCAACTTGCCATCGTCAGGAATCAGTTCAAGCTCTACAGCATTTTTACCTCTGAAGTCGCAACCCCTAAATCTTGCTTCGCCATCCCACAAGAGGTTGTGACCCAGAGTCAGGGACCTCTGTTGTACAGAATCTTATTATTGTAAATATTAATTTTGAAGCTGAGCACAAATAAAGGTAAAAGGGCTATAAAATGGTATTTTTTGAATTTGGTACACCTTATCTTTAGCTTTAACGCTGTAGCTTTATGCAGTTTATGCCCAATTTCTAAAACTGGTAACTAATCAAGAGATGTAAATATGTCTGTTCTTTGATGTGCCTCTGTATGATGCTTCAGTTGTTAAAGGGTGCATCTGACTATAAATTTGGTATTTAGCAAACTTAAAGGAGTTGATATTCACCTTGGGTGGGAATACAAAATGAGGGATATCGCACCTGCCATTCGTTTGATACCCTTCACAATATTTAATTCTACGGATATCAATGATTTTTCATGGTCCTGTGTATACTTGCAGAAGTGTTTGACTATTTTCTGTCCCTTCCCAAGTTACATTTAGCTCCCAAAGTACCTTAAGAAATTTTGAGGGACAAATTTGCATGGCATTGCTAGACTACCTTGATTCCGCCATGGACCACAAAGGTGGGTCTATAGTACCACTCCATCCAGGGAATTGTGATATGTCTTCATACCATCATTGGAAACAGTACTACATGGGCAAATTTCTACTGCTTGACATGGAAGATTGAGTTCATCACTCATTCATATCATAAAAATATGATCATAAGAACATACGAAATCGGAGCACGGGTTGGCCTTTCAGCTCTTTGAGCCTGCTCTACCATTTAATAAGATCCTGGCTGATCTTCGCATGCAACACCATTTTTCTGCATAATCCCCTTATCCCTTCATGGCTTTAATATGTAGAAACCTGACTAGAGTTCTCAGTCTAGAATACACTCATTGATTGCGCCTCCACAGCCTTATGGAGCAGAAAATTCCAACAATTTACCACCCTCTAAGGAAACAATTTTCTCTTCATCTCAGTCTTAAATGGCCTACCCCTTATTTTGAGACTATGACCCATCATTCTGGATCCCCAACCAGGGAAAATATCCTTTTTACATCTATCTTGTTAATCCTTATTATAATTTTGTATGTTTGAATGAGTACACCTCTCATTCTACTAAACTCCAGAGAATATAGGCCCAGTCTGTTAGATCTTTTCCCATAGGACAATTCCTTTATCCCAGAAATTATTTAGCAAACCTTTGTTGCATTCTTTCTATGCGAAGTATATCTTTCCGTAAGTAAGGCATCTAAACTGCACACAGCATTCCAGGTGTGATCTCACCAAGGCTGTCTATAATTATAATGTGGTATGACAGCTTTATACCTTTACTCAAATCTTCTTGTATTAAAATGAATGAAAGTTAGCAGTTGCTTATGAAAAAATTCTCAGCTAATATTGTCAATGTCCACATTTAGGTTTAACATTTACAAACATACACCACCTAACATATCAAAGGTATTGTGTAAGTTTTGCATCCTAAACACTGGTTAAAATATCAGAATCTCTATTACAGAATCTTGCAAATAAGTTGGAGCACTTCATAAATATTTATTTCTAAAAATCAGTTGTTGTAAACTATATATTCTGAATTCCTTTAATGTTAGAATGGTATCAGCAAATTCCAGTTCTGCATCTTAAAATGTTGTTAATCTTTTATAGAAATTAAGATGATCTGTTAATTTTTAGAAGTGGCATTGAACAGTGTCTCTCTTGAACATTCTGAAAGAATATTAAATTCCAGCTAACAAAAAAATACTTATAGATTTAGCTGAATTGTAACAATCAGGTCCATGCCATAAATCATTTTCATCAAAAATATATGTTTTTAAGATACTAAATTGGACAAGTATTTTATGTAATTATACAGTAAACAAGGGTCTCTTCTATATAATCATATGCACTGTGGGTGTGAGACATAGCATTCTGCCTTTTCCATGGCCATTTGATTTGAAACAACATGCCTGTGTTCACAGGCTACAGTGAACTTTTTTTCCAAAGAGGTTGTATTTGCATATGAAATGCTGCCTCCACAATGTGTGTTATTTGCTTCAGTTGCCAATGGATGATGGCTCCTACCAGTCCACCTCGAGGGGGTTTTGCTTTAATACTCTGTGCTGTGCCCTGATGGTATACCCATGTGAGATTCAGCTGAACAATCTGACACTTCTCCAACTGCTGTTTCATCTTCCAGGAAACCCCAGCAAGAATGCACAAACCTTAAAGTTGCCACTGTTCCTAGGCAGAAAAACTACAGCGTATCCAGCTTAAACCTTGCTCAGGTCACTCGGGTGAGCGTAATGATGTCCCTGGGACACCTAGCTAAAGGGGCTAGCCTGGATGACCTAATTGAGACCTGCATTCAGTCCTTTGGTAAGATTTCCTTTCTTTTCTACAGAGTACATTGTTGTGGATCGGAACCTCACAGTAGTTCTTTTCCCTCAACAACAGCTATAGCAGCTATGTTTCATTTAACAAATTTTTCATCATTTTGCCGAGTTACGCTTTTAAATAAGCATGTTTACTTTGTGATTTTGGAAGGTTTTATCTCACTTTTCTGAATAAGCTACCCATTACAAAATGTTTAACAATTTCAACAGAACAGCTATATGGTAATTATAAAATGCCACAATATCATTTTAAGACACAATTTTAATTGTAGAAAATCTGGAGTTATCACATCTAGTTAACACAGAATAACTGTATAACATGGGGATTTCATGCAATAGTGGAAAAAATATTTAACTGCATGGATGCATGGTTAAAATGATTTTTAATTCCAAACAAGAGGAACAACTAGAATGCTTAAAAATATATCTTTAAAATCACAACATAATTAATCAGTTATTTCATCTTACTCCGAGATTGCAGTATAAAAGGTTTATTATCAATATTCCTTCTGTGCTATCATGTTCTAATAAATTATTTTTGATATGAAGCGTTGTAATTGATGGTTCATGAGACTCCAAGAATTTAATGTTGCTTGAGCTCTGTGAATGTATTGTGCAGTGACAGAATTCAGCTTTATTTCTGAGGAAAGTGAATAAGAACTGATACTGTTCAGAAAATAAATTTACATGTATCTGCCTTTATACCTGGATGAGAGAATAAGGTCGACCAGACTCAAGCTAGTGTGTGGCACTAGTCTGAGGAAACACAGTATTCGCTTTGACTAACTCGCAGGTTCATCTTTCACATTCATTTTGCAAAGCCCCGTCAATTCAGGCAGTTTCCTGTCAGTGTTAATAATGGGCTAGCCTTAAATAGAATAGCAGTTGAAAAATACACGTGTAAGTAATTATCAAACACCTTATCCATAGATTTTCTGCAGGGCATTGTAAACCAGTTTATTTCCACTAGCCTCAATGATGGCCATTATGCCTCAAATCTTGAGAATACTATGCAGGATAGTATTAATTGTTCCAGACTTTGTTCACCAGTTTAATTGTCCCTGGAAATCACACAGTGAGTTATATACTTTCTAGCTTATTTAAATTTGCTTTTACATGAAAAACATGTTTCTCGTTTCCTCTGGATAATATCTCCAACATCACTGGGTAGAGGAGGTAGAAGGCGTCAACTTCTAGTTTGGAGTTTGGATTCACAACCAGGCTTTAGAAACAATCCAAAACCGATTTAGTGCCTGTAAACCATTAATGTTTGCACTATAGCCCCGCCAAGAAAAAGATGACATGATCTTATTGTTACTGAATTATCTTACTTCAACCCTCTCATCTATATCAATCTTGTTTCTTGGTACACACATTTGCAGTGCGAATAAAGTTAAAGACATATTCCTTTATTCAATCTTTATTATAACCGTCTAATATTAATGGAGCATTTAGAAAATGCACAGAAAGAACTTAGCATTTTAAATTATTTCATTGTTTGATAGATTCATGAACATGTATGCAGAATGTCATCAGTATCTTAACTATTCAGCATAAGTTATTTTCTTACACTGCTTGTCTGTTAATGCAAGTTCTATTCATCATCCTCTAATCTGTCGAGACTATTTCACAGTCTGACGGCATGCATGAAACAAATTCAAATTTCTGAAGTAGCCATCATGTTCATGTTGCTGTTATTATATGGTTATAATACCCTTCATACAATAACAATATCAGTTGTGAATTATTTTTTAGAAGCCAACACGTTTCAATGCCTTTTTACAAGCATCTGCGGGATGTAACATTGGCTAATAACGGGTTTTTAGTTGTGCTCTATCAATTACATAGATGTTGCTTCACAGTTGATTGGCAGCCACCACTGTCACCTGGATTTCTTTCTCTACACTAAAATTACTTCCATTTATGATGGTTACAATCTTTGGAAAAGCCATCCTTCTCCAACATCCCTCTCAGTTCATGTTGTCACCAGGTTACTGTCACACTACTTTGGCCAACTATGACTATTGTCTCTCCTTCATCTAAATAGCCTGATTACACTATCATATGCTACAGGTTCTCAGAAATCCTTCAATTTTCCTTTATATAGACTTCTTTCAGTAGCTTGATAATGAGGAAAATTTGTTGTTGGCAAAAGGGACTGCAATGCACAGGGACATCAAATGCTATGTTATATAGCTATAGGATGACACTCTTCAATGGGCATTAATTGCTTCCCCCTTCCACCGTCATGGCCTTCCAAACTCACGTTGGGAGACAGGATTAAATACTGCCCAAAAATTCAACCCAATTAGTGTTCATGCTCCACATGGGCCTTGTCCCATTTAGTTATCTGTCCCCACTTTAACCTCAATTCTCTTCTTCCCCCCCGTTGCATCAATCCTCACTTTAAATGCATCAGTTGTGTCTGCTTACAGCTTTCCATGTGGTAGCAAGCTCCACATTCTTGTGGCTCTCTATGTAAATGCAATTGTTTATTCAATCTGTACGTAAATATTTTAAATTTATGCCCCCTTTTTTGGGCCAACCCTCAAATGGAATCAATTTCTACAGATATATCCAATTGAATTCCTTCTTCCAGGTATCACCTTCTGGGATCTGTGATAGAATCCGTGCTTTCACAGTTTGTAAATTTTGAAACAGACCCTAAATGAAAACAGAAACTAAAAAGACGAACAGAGAAAGGAACACAACCTCCTAGTTTCTAAGACAAAATAGTGAAATTTAGATGTGGAAACCAAAACTTCCAGGCAGATTGAAACTGTTTCAGAATATGTAAGAGAACACAGAGCCATCCAAGCTTTGTCAAAGCAGGTAATGAGTTCCCTGGCATAGTACAAGCAAGCTGAAGAAGACAGAGTTGACAGTCAGAGACAGAGCTGGTGCAGCTGATTCTGTTACTTGAAGATAACATTGATGAATGTACACCATCCAAGATGTGCAGAGGTTCTGCAGATGTCTGCCATTTGTGGTGAAGATCATTCCCATGGAAGTTAAGTTAGTTGTGTGCAGTTGCCGTCTGGAAACCAGGCCACATTGTAGGAAAGAACTTAATGCATAGCAACATAGAATCCCTACAGTGTAGAAGCAGGCCAATTGGCCCATCAAATCCACACCGACCATTCAAAGTACATCCCACCAAGACCCAACCCATCCCTGTAACCTCACATTTACCATAGCTAATCCATCTAGCCTGCACATCAATAGACACTGTGGGCAATTTAGAATGGCCAGTCCACCTAACCTGCACACCTTTGGACTGTGGGAGGAAACCCACGCAGACACAGGGAGAACGTGAAAACTCCACACAGACAGTTGCCTGAGGGTGGAATCAAATCCGGCTCCCTGGCACTGTGAGGCAGCAGTGCTAACCACTGAGCCACCGTTATTCTTCATAAGGAAGACAGAGTTTGCAGAAGTTGTGACTAAATAAATTATCTATTTGCTGCGTGGACCTCTGATCATTTCTGAGATCTGGCATAGTTGCATTTCACATTTAGTGTGTAATTTATGGCTTATAATTGACCACAATTCACCTGTTAATTCATTTTTAACTTACATTTATTTTGAGGTTTTAGAGCATAGGTTTTTTTTTAATCTTCATTCGCAGCATGTGGGTGACGCTGTCTGGGCCAACATTATTGCCTATTCCTAGATTTCCTTGAGAAGGTGGTGGTGAGCAGTTTTATTGAACCACTACAGTCCATTTGCTATATGTACAGCCACAATGTTGTTCAGGAGGCAGTTCGAGGATTTTGAACAAATGACGCTGAAGCAAGTTTGTAGATGTGATGTCAGTCAAGCTTTGTCCTGGGTTGTGTCAAGCTCCTTGAGTGTTGTTGGAGTTGCACTCATCCAGGCAAGTGCAATTCCTGATTTGTGCCTCGTACATGGTAGTCAGGCTTTTGGGAGTCAAGAGGGGAGTTACTCAGTACAGGATTCATAGCCTATGACCTGCTCTTGTAGTAACAGCACTTATAAAGCTAATTCAGTTCAGTTTCTGGTCAATGGTAACCCTAAGATGTTGCTTGTAGGGGATTCAGTGATGGCAATGACATTGAATGTTACAGAATGATAGTTAACTTATCTCTTGGTCATTGCTTGGCATTTTTGTGGTGTGAATATTGCACAGTCATCGGCAAACATCCCCACCTCTGACCTTATAATGGAGGGAAAGTCATTGATGAAGCAGCTGAAGATGGTTGGACCTAGGACACTACCCTGAGGAAATCCTGCACAGATGTCCTGGAGGTGAGATGACTGGCCTCCAATAACCACAACCATCTTCTTATGTGCCAGGTATGAGGTCAATCAGTGGGAGTTTGCCATATGGTAGGGTTCCTTGATGCCACCTTCGATCAAATGCAGCCCTGATGTTAAGGGCAGCTGCTCTCACTTTACCTCTGGAACTCAGCTCTTTTATCCACATTTGAACCAAGGCTGTCATGAGGTCAGCAGCTCAATGGCTCTGGCAGAATTCAAACTGAGCATTAAAAGAGCAGGCTGCTGCTGAGAAAACCCTGCTTGATAGCACTGCTTGATACACCTTCCATCACTTTACTGATGAGTGAGAGTAGACTGATGGGCTTGTAATTGGTCTGGTTGTATTTGTCCTGCTTTTTGTGTACAGGGCATATCTGAGAAATCTTCCAAACTGTTGGGTGGATGCTAGTGTTATTGCTGTACTGGAACAGGTTGGCTAGGGGTATAACAAGCTTTGGAGAACATGGCTTCAGTCCAATTTCCAGAATGTTGTTGGGACCCATAGCCTTTGCAATATCTACTACTTTTAGCCATTTCTTGTTATCACATGGAGTGAATAGAAGATTGCTGAAAATTGGCATCTCTATCGCTGAGGACCTCTGTAGGATAGTATGTAGTGCATTGTTTGTCTTTTGTATAGTATCATAAAATTCCTTCTGTTTTAAGCTGTGACATTTGTGGCTTTTTTTTTTAGCATATAAC